ATCGAGAATCGCGAACGCGCCTCCTTACGTCCTTCTCACACCTTTTCGCGTCTACCCGGCTTCTTCGCTCGCTCCACCGAGCTCAAGCTACTGGAACGCACCCTTGACTCTGAGCCAGCGTTCACTGTCCTCTTTGGCGCATCATCGGTCGGCAAGACTGCTCTCCTTCGCCAATTGCTATCCTCGGATCGATATCACGTTCTTCATTTCGACCTCCGGATTGCAGGATTTGCGGACCTCGAGAGCCTTTACATGAGTCTCAGCCAGCAGATGGAGCAGTATTTCGGAGCGCTCGCAGGCTTTGAGGGCTATGAGGAGTTCGAGAAAGAGGGCTGGAGCTTCAAGGTATGAACGCAATAGCACAGCTGCCTGATACGTGCATGCTCATAGCTTTAGCATGACCGCCGTTCCGTTGAGCAGCGTTTGGCCGATGACCGCGGCGTTGTACGCACGAGCGACGTCGCTCGACTGATGGAACTATTCCAGGCGAGTTCTGCGCTATATCTTGGTCTTCACGGGCTGACGGCGTGCATGCAGAGTTCTTTGTTGAAGTACAGAGAGTTCGTTCCGAAGAGTCCGGATGACCAATCGGCGAAGGAAGAAGTCACTCGCGCATCTATATCCGCTCAAGGCGAGGTACAAGAGGCTAAGAAACCTTCTTGGTGGCGCTTGCGGCGCCGAAGGCAACATCATCGGGAGCAGCAAGAACTTCAGCATCAGCGCCAACGCCAGAAAGCCGAAGCCCAGGCTCAGGAGAAGAAACCGAAGCGCGAACCGCCGCCCAAGCGTATGCCGGTACTTTTCTTTGACGAGGCACATAAGCTGTATGTATACCTTACGCATTCCGATGTGGGTGGGGTACTCATGTTTGCCACAGGCCGGGTTTGATCCAGTCCGTCGAGGCGATGAAATGTCTGCTCGATTCGATGCTAGTCCTGACAAAACAAGATCGCCTCTGTCACGTTATCCACTCGACGAGCGATCCGTTCTACCAGACGTGGCTTCGTCAGCTGAACGTCATGCAGCATTGCAAGATTGTCACCATCGGCGACTGCTCGAAGGCGGAGACCCGCGCGTACTTTGAGCGTAGTGTTCTGCCTCATGTTCCTGAGAACTTGCGTCCGGGGCTTGACTTCGAGGAGCTGCATGAAGCTTTTGGTGGGCGCTTAGTGCACTGGCATGACTACAGCACGGATTACGGTGGGTATTCCAGTTTAGTTATGCCTCAGTCCATGCGCTCATACCTACATCAGTGAACTCTGGTGGACGGCCGAAGAGTAAGTGTTGACTTCACATATGATGCGCGCGTATTGACGTTTCGTTAGTCTTACAGTCTTCGCACTTCATCCAGGCGCACGCACTGCTCAACCTACACGTCATCCACTCCTCGCGCCTCGCTCAATCGGGTGAAGGCAGTCGACGCAATAGCGCTCTGCAGCGACAAGACGCGCGCCGAGACTCCCGCGCGCAAGCACCGGCTGGCGGAGGCGGCTTCAACATATATAGCCCGCTTACCGGTCCTCCTCGTAATCCTCATGCCGCGCCGAGTGGCACGGTTCCTGATGGAACTGACGCCCCGTCTGACGTGCCGTCCTTCACCGGGCTTCAGCTGCTACGTGTAATGGCACGCTTGACCGAGCCGGGCGTTCGCTCGTTGAGCTACTTCATGCTTTGTCGCGAGTTTGGCGCTCGCGCTATTGACGGCATGGTACGCGGGCGTATACTGGATTTGCGCTGGACAGAACCTGTCACACGAGAGGATGCCCCTGAACGACGGAGGACACATCGACAACGAGCTCGACGGAGGAGTGGCGTAGGCGGGCATCACGAGGAGTTGGAGAGTCCGACCCTTGTGGACCAGGACTTTGCGGACGAGATTCACCACGAGGGCGACGCCGGTTCTGAGGCGCACAGTGATGATGGCGCCAGCGATACAGCAGCTGAAGACTTCGTGGTTATACCAAGGGCAGACTCGGACGCAATGGGTCCGAGGATCTTGCCGGCCACACCCATCCTACGCTATGCTATGGCGCATGTGGTCGCTGAGTATGAAGACGCGGACTCTGTGTCCGAGTATGCGTCCTTGTCTGATGCAGACATTGACGAGTATTGAGGGTCGAGCGTCAACTGAATTTTTCACCACCTTCTATTACGAACTGGGTTGGACTCTGGATTGACATACATGGACTTGGAGTCATGACCCCCCTCTTAAACTCATCGTAACGCTGCTCCCTCTCATTGTTTTTTATTGCATCATCGATTCGTTTTGTGGTTTGCATGGCTCATTCCCTGTGGTTTATTGATGTGCGGATATCCCTTTGTAGCTTTGTGTGGTTATTGGTGTGGTTATACACGGACGTTGTTGCTCTACAACTATATAACAGAGCCAGTCTGTCCTTTGACTTCTCTCTGCACAATATGTCTTCCACTTCGACCTCTTCGAGCGCGAGCGCGTCGCCTTCCGTCCTTCCCGCTGTGCCTCGGCATCTACTTCCTCAACGCTTTGCGCACCTCCGCCCGGAAAGGTAGATGCTGCCATCGGTCAATAACGCTACTACGTACGCTAATACTGGCTTGAAGTCCGACTCAACTGCCTCGTGGCAAGCAGGAAGAGGTGACTATATGCGCAAGCGAAGTTGAGAAGACGATTGAGACGTGTAAGCCTGCTCGGTCGTCTCGGACCTGAATATTTGAATCATGTACTGATCCTGGTATAGTGGACCTTGCATTTGACAACCGTACCGTACGCCGAATCATCCTCAGTGACAGATTATTTGACTCATCTTCCCCCTAGTGGACGATGTTCTGGAGAAAGGTTCGTTATACAGATTCAAGTAGACTACTCGTATTCCTGACATCCTACAAATCAAGCTATGTTGCTTCAACGACGCAAGAACTGTGAGTCTCGGCTCATCTACTACGAAACCTCTGTCTGCTAACATTGGGTCTAGTTAGCATACAAGACGAACGTCTTCTGAAGAAAGGTGAGTATCTACGTTAGCGATTGGTGCTCGCACTGAAGCCTCACTCCGTCTCTTTCAGCGATGCGGGATGTACAACATCGTACGTAGTCCTTCAGCTCATTTCGCTTCGGCAGTCGTTCATACATATTTCAGTGCTTGACCTTACCAACACACCTTGAATGATTCCACCACAAAAAATCACAATGGCTAGTTTGCGACAGAGCGTGCTCTGTGCCAAACATCGTGATAGTCTGTTAAACCATTACACACGCTCATTTTAATCCTTGTACATATTCTTCGTGCCCTTCTCCGACATGAACTGCCCGTTATCCTCCGGCCTCAGACGCGCGACCGTGTCCAGCATCTTACTCACAGACTCTTGCGGCGTGTATGCAATAGGAGTCCATTCGGGGTAGCCGGCCGAGATCGCCTTCAGCGCCTGGTTGAAGCCTGGTGGCAGCTCTCCAGCTGTCGTTGATGTGAGTATTTGGGGGACTGGATGGAATGGGATATAGCTTCACGTTTTCCTGGTGTTGTTTCTTCCGTATTCACAATCCCAGGGCTGAATGAGACGCAGATGAAGCCCTCGTCCCGGTATTGGTTCGCGAACTTGGCATTGAGCATATTAAGCCCCGCCTTGTCACACGAGTACGCAACCATAGTGCGAGACTTGATTCGCTGCACGAAGTCGAGATCGCCTGCCGAAGACGAGATGTTGATGATCTTCTTTGTCTCCCCTGCCCGTAATAGCGGAATAAAGGCGAGTGTGGTCCACATGACGCCCAGCACGTTGACGCGATACTGCGCGTTGTTCAGCCACGCAGATGTATGCCTAGAAGAGGAAAGCTCACGGCGTCCATGAACTCCTGATCGACCGCGTCCTCGATACCATCGCTGGACACAGAGTCATGGGTTGAGAAGATATTTCCGCGAAAGCCAGGAACACTCACTAGTCGTTCATAGTCGTAAAATAATGTTCACCTCCTGTTTTTGCACCATTGTTGATGAGCACATCGACCGATCCGTCGGTCACCTTTGCTGTCTCTGCGGCAGCGGCCTGAGGGCATGTAAGCCCATTGATGCTTTGTACAGTGCCGGGCATCTGACCTTGAGAGACTCGCGATCGCACAAATCCGCTTCGAAGACATGCACATTCGGGCCAGCGAGAGGCACGAGATGAACAGCAGTTTGTTTGCTTCGTACGACTGCGACGACGACAGTATCGGGGTTGGAAGCCTGGGTAAAATGAGCTTAATGCAGTGACTAAGTGCGTATCTTTGCCTACCAACTGGCGAACGAACTCGAGCCCGATTCCGCGAGATGCACCAATTACAACCCAGGCCGGCATGTTGATGGACGTTTGAAGAAAGCTGGTTCTTAGATGCCAGATCGCATGAAATAACCTACCCCTTTATATGCGTGCATGGGGCGAGGGAGTCAGGCCGACGGAACCGTCGACGCGGACTCATCTCCGCATGGTGCCGACAAACCGTCGAATGAATGTCCGGAAAGACGAGGAAAACCACCGAGTCGAGCACTGAAACTGTACGATGACTTGTCTTGGTAGGTCATGGCCGCGTACATGACTGCTGTCTGAATGGGACAAACGATGGGCCATATCAACGTATGGATGGTGGTGGGCGAGGATAACTTGAACCTGACCTTGACGCGCCTTTACTACGGGAGTTGAGTACTGAGTCACGATGCATCCTCCTACTCATACTTTTAGCATAGGTTATACGGTATTCACGTGCGCTACATCATAAGACCAGTGTACATATCACATCTGCGATCACTAGAACAGTGCCTCAGGAGTGGATGCACAAACATTGGCATTGGATTCGCGACCGTGACTATACGGTGTCCGTCAAAGTGAGCGTAGTACTTAGTCCTCCCTCCCTCAATTAGTAGGGAGATGCGAAAGGGACTGACCCAGTTTGGAGAGACAACATTCTGGATCGATAGTATACAAAGAGCTCGGCACTGCCACCAAGTATCTAGAAATACCTTTCGCTCCTTGCTACGTAGAGAAAAATATGAAGCTGGCCCGGATCGAACGGACGACCTTCTGGAAACTCATATTATTCTGGAATCAGATGCTCTACCACTGAGCCACAGCTCCCATATGTTTGGATTTACAAGTCAGTCCTCAGTCTCAATGAAGTCTGCAAACCAACTTCGAATGGCCAGATCGGATGCTGCTGTTGCATACGACTCGAAAGTATCTCTTCGACTGGAGAGCTACTATAGATAGGTTTCCTAGTCCAATCTTACCCATTTTGTTGCCGAAAAGTATGCCGGTGAGCAGTACCACTTTATATATCCGTAAAAAGCGAGTGTTCAAGTACGCGGATACAGTGCACTTTGTTCATGTGCATAACTTTGCATCATCCCCAGGCCATTTCCTTGGTCATTCGGATTAAGGAACTTGCGTTATAAGATCTTAAGATCTTAAGACCGCATTTTGCAGTTGCGCACAGCGAGCGACGCGCCGATCATGGTATCCTTCCGCCCTGCGCGACCCGCCTCGATCATCTGAACCCAACCAGCGCAGTTTGCAACTTGCAAGACCCGAAATGAACGCACTTTCCTTTCAAATCGGACGCTTGATGTTGAGATTCAAGGCGCGAGGACGTTGAGTCCAGGTGCGCATGGCTGGCGCAGCCTGGGCAACGCCAGCGAGGCGAGCAGCCTCGATCGTCAAGAGCAGGGGCGCGCCGCCTGTCTGTGGCGGTCCTCGTCAAAAAGGGTTTATAAGAAGACACGGTGAGGAGTGATACACATGGACCCATCGCAAAGTGTATAAGTTTTAAACGAGTTCTGCGGTACAATGTTGTACCGAGAGGTCGACTCGGATGGATCGAGACAGATGCTCCCGCCGCCCACCCGCCTGGTGCATATACGCGCCCACGTCCCGGACCACAGATGTCCAACGGGGATTCATTGCACACATAGCGCAGGGCGGTGACAAGGCACCGAGATGTCTGGACTGCGGATCCGACGGTGTTGTAGACGCGTTCAAGCCGCATATGTGCGATACACTCTCTCGAGGGCAGTCGCCAGCCAATGCACCGCTGCTCATCACGGTCACCTGCTCGTGCAAACTTCTTTTGTGCGTTCACCTCGCCGGCGCCGCATACAAATCACCAGTTCGTCATCGCCTGACAATCACTTTCAAAGCTTACCTTTTTGAGGGTGCGCGTTCACTCCAGATTCAGACGTCACGACCTCGGATACTTTATGTCAGCTTCCATGTCCCGAAGCTACAGGTAACATCTCACAGTAGCTCTGCATATCGGGTGCAGGCGGAGAGCCTCTCTCGGAGCGGAAGTGTGCGCAGCGCCTGGCTTTCCGCAACCATGCTATGCGTGAACCACCGATATTGGCACCGATGCTGAATTTCTTCAACTGCGCAAGAGCCCTATTGGTAGGATATTGGTAATGGCCTACAAGTGGATGAGTTTTAGGGTGCGTCTGATTTGAGATTCGGGATATGCTCTTGCCCGCACGGCACACGCAGCAGTTTGTAGCAGACTCGGTCGTAGTGTTGTGCACAGCATCCCGCCAGAACGCTCCTCCTGTCCATTCTGTCGCGAGGATTAACGGTGACCGTGAGCACATGAGCGTCTCTCGAAATGCAATGGGCACCTCAGCACAGGCATGTGGCAGTGGGCGCTTGCGGTCAGCGAAACCCTTTGCTGTTCGTGTGGCACGGCGCTCCCGCGGGCCGAGCTGCGCCTCGACTGCGACTCAGCGTGAAAAAAGCGCGTACAATCTGTGCGCATTGTATGAACACAAACAGAGATGCTCCACGTACAATGCATAGAGCCGGCCGTGGCCGCCTAGGTCTCTCGTCAACTCATAAAGTCGCGGCCGGCCATCATGATGCTCAGTCGTCCAAGCGCGGGTGATTACCGTACTGGCTGTCATCAGGGCGCACTCTCGTACATCTGCACATTTGAGCCGGTACGTGCCGACCGATTGTGAACGTACAAGGGGTGCTCGAGATGAGCTCAAGGGTCCTGGATTGGTAAATCGAGATTGGCGATGAGAAATCAGGACATTCGAACGTGCAACACGAACGAGCGACAACGCGTGCGTTGCATGCGTAAGTAGAGACCCTGTCGTATTGCTGCCAGAAGCACAATGTAGTGAGTTGGCCCTGTTGCTCGATTGGGATCGACCCTCGCTGAGATGCTCGTATGCGGCCTTAGAGCAGTAAGTTCGCCCTGTCGCGATCGATGTGCATTGCACGACACGGGACGTTGCTTGGTGAGCATGTAGCTAGATGCTTTAGATAGAATAGTCAGCTCACCGGGTTGTACATATTCTCACGTCGAGCCGGAAGTGCAGTGCGCGGGGTTAAAGAAGTATCTGAGGTCAGAGGGCGGTCAGTAGCCTGATGACTTCAGGTCAGGCATACCCTCGGACCTCAGTAGCGCGCAAGCCGTCACACATCTTCGAAGTGCGCAAGAGCATTCTCCATCTCCGCCGCTGTCGTCGCTCGCGTCGACGCACTGAAGCCTGAACGAAGCCCGAGGTGGTTGCCAGCAAAGCCCGAGCCCGAGCTCAGCTCGACCTTCGCGGCATTCGGTCCGACCTGCCGATCTCACAGGCGCATAGCCAATCGCCCTTCACGTCTACGTTGTTAAATGACGCGTAGCTAGTGACCTCGCAGAAGCGCATACCAGCACAAACTATAGGACACACCCGGCCTCCGGTCCGCCGCCCGCATACCCGGGCCACAAAGTGCATTGCGTGCGAAACATGACGGTTTGATGGGCTGTTCCTTGTCTGCACGTCTTCTGTCTTCTCATTCATCTTGTCCATGAACCCAAGGGATGGGATGGGCGAAAGAAGTATGAAGAGCGCGTGAGTGATGAGAAGCAGAAGCAATGATAGCGAGGTACATAGACGCGCCGGGGCGCAGGGCGAGAAGTGCACGCCGTGCCCGAGGTGGGATGTCAGCAAGTAGACTGCTGGATAAGGCATGCCCGAGGTGGCTGGGCATCATCGTGTATATGTCAAGAAATGGCCTTGGAAATGAGAAGTCGCGTCGACTACGTGTGATCTGCACGCGTGGCTCTGGCTTTGCGGTACACGTTCATAACGATTAGAACTTGTGGCCACGGCGACATTTGGGATTGAGCATCTATAATCTAAGATGAAAGGTTCAGTACAGCGAAGGTTCCTCAGAACATGTAGGAACGGACGGGCGTTTATCGCGAGAATCGCATGGTGGCCTGAAGCAGATCTTAGTCTGACGCAGGCTGAGATGGAACACGTCGCGTGAGGAGCGGGGGCAGAGGGGACGGATGCCTGGCAGGGTGAACTCGTTTGCAGGTCGATGGTCTTGATCAAGCCTCGCGTGTACAGTTGAGGCCTACCAGTGAGGAGTGACGAAGAGAGTCGGGTGATGAAAAGCGAAAGTGCAATCTGCAGTTCATCATCGCGAGCAGAACTAGAAGCTCAACCTGTAAGGTTGCCCTGTTCGGCCGAGCCGTCCCTAACGGCCGCGTTCATTCGTAAAAAGCATGTCATGCTTCGTGGCAAACGCAGATACAGCACACATTAACTTACACGCTCGCTTGTATAAAGCGACCGCGCACTACGTCGCCGCCCCGAACAGAAGAACAGCGAATTGACCGAAGGTCGAACTCTAGCGTATTGGCACCCTAGCCTTCAGAGTTGTATGCGCTATATATTTGGCGGGTTAAAGTGAGCCCTTATGTGCACGCGGCGTCGCGGACCCGAGCTGTATGGGGAGAGGCTGTATTGGTGTCGCAGGAGCGCGCTGTTCACCGGCCATCAGCGCGGTGCCTATGTCCTCCTCTTCAGACAAGTCAACGTCTCTTTGCGCTTGGCATATAACTCCTGTTGCCCTGCACAACAGCCACTAGAACAGAAACAAGTCATACATGAGGAGTGCACTCAATTGAGAGTTTGAACAGAGCACGTTTCTGATCTCCCCATCCATTGCGACTGAACGTGTACAACCACCGTAGAGGGCGCGTGGCGCGTGGACGAAGAAGATCTCATGGCCCATATCCATATCTGCCTTCCGTTCGCAGCGTCGGAACGTCCATGTCTCCGACTCTAACAGCCTGTAGCCTGTGGCGCCAGCGCACCATGTGCGCGCGCTGTGTTCCTAATCTCAAGTCGTTCAAGTCGTTGATTAGCCTGGACCAGTGCACAATACAGATAGATAGCCGGTTCACCGTGTATGAATGAGCGGACGGGCGAGTGGGTACAACGCAAGTGAGCGATAGGCGTTTGTTTGGCCCGGTTTGTTTGTCGCACACGTAGTTCTGCGAAAGTGTGTATCAGAAGACCAACAAGCAAAGTCCGAGTTCAAGCCGCTGCTGCACGATCGAACTCAGCAAGAGCTAGCGCGCGCGCGACGTCACAAAATGAACCCGGTTATGATGTAGATCCATCGACATCCTCTGCGACCCTGTCCATCCCCGATAGCCCATCCACGAACCAAATCCAACCGGGGTGCCTTGCGCTACAGCATCCTGCTCCAAGCGTACAAAACCCAAACAACGCGCTCGGAGCACATCGCGGGGCAGCGACGTCAGGGGCCCGTGGCGAAGGAAGCGCGAAGCCGCTCGCTTCCGAGGCGCCCTTCCAGAGTTCCGCGGTCCCAGGAGGCGTGCGCGGAGGTGGCAAGGGCTCTGGCGATTGCGGTTTAGACGTTATATGCAAGGCACGATCTGCCCGCGTGCGGGCGTCAGAAGCGCGGGGAAACGCGAGCTGGGATACGGCTGCGAAGAGCGAAGATAGGGCATGCATACGCCTGAGACGACATGAAGAAGACGTCCGAGTGCGGACTGGAAGGTGGGTGACGCGGACGCAGACGGGAGAAGGCGTGGCTGGAGATCTAGAGGCAGCGAGGCCAAGGCGTCTGTTGCAACTGAGTAAAGGACGAGGGCATGCCAGTGCGTCATGGCCGAGGCGCAAAACTGGAAGACATGTGCGGGAGATACACTCACCCACAGCGATGGCCGGACTCACACGCGCGTGCGTGCGGATGCGCAGGCAAGGGTCAGGCGGGGTAGCGAGAAAGCAGAGGGGCGTCTATACATATGGCCAGAACGCGATGTTGTACAGTGGGTACTA